ACATTTCTTTCGTGAGCTTTGAACAAACGGAACATGTACGAGGACGCATTTGATGTGCGGTGGGGTTCACAGAAAGGCTAAATGCCTATCAAATGTTGATTGGTGTCACATACCGCTCCTATCACGTGCCTGATTTAAGGATTTCTCCTTAAGAACCAACAGCACTGTGAAATAATAATGTTGAGTCATTGGCTCGTATTGGTCTAAGGGATATCCAGTGGCCAATATACGCTCAACTTATTTCAGGGCAACTCAAGCTTTGGCACTACAAAATATATAATATTCCTAGGCACACTTGGCTGGACACCCCCACTACTATAAAAAGGTAGCCCCCAGGTTATGATAGTATACTATCATAGCCATGTTAACACAGATTACACTTATTACTCACACAAACATAAAAGCTAGACAGTTAGAATGGTGAAAGAGGGACACCCAAGTCAGCCATGAAAATTTTTACATGTAATAAGTAAATATATATATATATATATATATATATATATATATATATATATATATATATATATATATATATATATATATATATATATATTTGAATAGATCAACAAGAATGATTAGTGAATGGAGTTCAGGAATCAATGACACAACCAAGATGTTGAAGCAGCCAGATGTAGTTCTTGTATATTACATGAGTTCATCATAGGAATCATAAGGAGCTGTGGGAAGATAGCATGTATGTAATTAAGAGATTACTTATCCCAGTTCGTAGGTCACTGCTTCCCTCAGCCCATGGTGATTTGACTGTGGTTGACTCAATAGGTAGCTATGCTTCAATTTGATCTGGTACAAGCTGACTGTCTCACAAGTGAGGACACAGGAACTGCATAGGAGCCCAACAAAGCTCTTGAAGACTGTGGTGCCCGCTAACTGTCTCACAGGTGCGGACACAGGAACTGCATAAGAGCCCAACAAAGCTCATGAAAACTGGTTTTCTGGATTGACGACATAAGTGTCTGCAATTGTCCACCAGTCCTGGAACTAACAAACAAGCTCTTGCCATGTTGAGGTAGTGGCAACAATATACAGGACTTTTGGGTATACTTGGTGTCCAGAATGGTATGGGTTGGTGGTTGTTGGCTGAACTGTGATTCGTCTGCCTGATCTCTAAGGATCTCATCCTGTCAGGAAAGAACTCAGAATTAGTAATCAACTTTAATCACACACCAGCTCACCCCACACTCTGCTACCCTTCTCCATTACTCAGAGTGTAACTCTCAAGAACAGGAAACAATGTCTCCTTTCATTTATCTGTCTGTAAATTAGTACACCAGATAGAAGACAAGGTATATAGTGGAGATAGATAGACACTACCACACATAGATCATCCTCTCTCCACCCTCACATCTGTACTCGCAGGCATACAATGTATTCCGTTGGTAGATATATATATATACTTATATATATATATATATATAGGCTGCTACTACACACTAGATATTTCCTTGCCAAACACACCTTTGACTCAGAGCGTCGAGCTCTGACGTCACAGCAGTTAACTGTTAAAAGATTACCATATTTCTGGTAAGAGGCACAAAACTTCGTTTGTCTAGTCAGAGAATAATTACTTGTAGGGTTTAATATCTTTACAAATGGTGTGGGTTATGTAGAGCACAAACTATTTAGTCTGCACAGGGAAAGGTTTAATGTTCGGAGCCTGATCTCTGGACATCAAGAACGGCCCAACTCTGTGCGATCAAACAGCTGAAACTTCCCTCCCTGCAGCAGTGGTCAACTTTAAAAAGACATATATTATGGTACTCGTAAACTATAATCAACTTACCCAAGCTTAGGAATTCTTCAAAGATAAAACTGGTTCTTTGTATGCGCCACTTTTATTCATAGACTGTATACACGTCATGACACTTTGGAGATCAGGCGAAAGAATGCCGCTCAAAACTGCGCTTGGCGTCTCTAGGAAAGAAGTCCCTGTATTCATACCCAAGGAGTAAACAGGCTTACATGAATTTATGAATTAAACACCAGAAATACTCAGCCCACAGTTGCAAGTTTGAAAATGAAGATTTCTTAAAGCAACTAGAGGGTCTAGAAATGAATATTTCACCAGATAAAGGCATATCAATATAAGGGACTATATACCCGTCCGGACGGGTTTAAGTTTGAAATGTGACTGCCCGCTTAGGGAAGTCAGCGTCACGACTAGTCCATCGTGTAGGGTTGGCTATTTACTCCACGACAATTGGGAGAAAAATAGTTAAGAAGTTAAGCTTATCTAACGATGTAGATTTCATACGCCAGTCACTGTACTTGCCTAGCAGGTTATTTGTTATTCTTGATATCCTTGTTTACCGTCGAGGTAAAAACAGGCAGGAAATTACAACCACACTACAACACGAACTAGACAGACTTAGTGAGTGGTGCCAGGAATCAAGAGCTCAGGTGAATCCGTCCAAAGCCTCCTTAACATGGTTCTCTCTGAATACCCACATCGTTAGTACACCAACGCTAGTCGTAAGCATCTGTGGTGTGGACATTGAGAGAACGGACACCATGAAATACCTGGGCATGACATTTGACAGATGCTTGTCATACAAATGCCACGTAGTCAACTTCATACTTAGAGCCAGGAAATGTTTGACAGCACTCAAGGTGCTAGCGGCAGCTGATATTGAACAACGTCTACTTTTCCTTCTCTATCAAGGGCTTGTGCTTAGCGTCATTGACTACGGTCTTGCCCTCCCCACTGACAGCAGAACCCAGCTAGAAAGACTGGACCGAGTACAGAATGAGGCCATGAGACTCATACTCGGCTGCACAAAAGACACCTCCTGCAACGCCATGCGTTATGTCCTGGGTCTGCCGACTATGACTAGCAGATACAAAGTGGCACAGGTCAAGGCTTACATGAGGGTATCGGCAGACGTTAACCACCCATTACACAAAGCTATACACGACACAAAAGGAACGCGTCTCAAAAGAGGCCGCTCTTGGATGACAAAGGCTGAGGACCTAATCCAGCAGGTATGTGACCTAGACGTGATCAGTCACGGAAAAGAATGGACGATCACACCAGTAGACAAGCATGGTATCTCTAAGGTTGTCATCACACTCGGAAGGTACTCCAGGGATCAAATTCCTGCCGCCGTAGACACAGAAGTAAGGGAACTTATAGATCAGCATTCAGACCCAGAAGATACCATCATCTACACAGATGGATCCGTGAAGCGCGGATCAAAGTCAGCATGGGCATACACTGCGCAAAGAAAGGGGAAAACAATACATGAGGACAGCGGTGCTTACCAGACAAACACGTCAAGCATGACAATGGAAATAGCCGCTGCTTCTAGAGCTTTAGCATGGGTCTCCGAGCAAGCCGCCAAACAGGTAGTAATTGTCTCAGACTCAAGGAATATGCTTCAGAAGATAGCAACAGACAGTATGCGCTCTGATTGGATAGAAAGCATTCGGAAATCGCACTTAACCTCCGTAACCTGGATCTACACACCGGGTCATGCGGGTGTGAAGGGAAATGAGCGAGCAGACCAACTGGCAAGCACTGCACTAATGATTGCGGGAAAAAGTATGGACAGAGCAGATATAGTCAACGCTGTACGAACTGGGCTAGTGGAGAATGATGAATCCCTGACACTAACACGATTGCGTGACATGGGAGTTAAGCATGGTGACGCACGTCTTTGCCGTCTTCGAGGCCGAGAAAGGAGACAATATAACCAGCTTCTTATGGGTACAATTAGTAGAAGTACTTTGGAGTGGCTGCTGCTTCGGAGAACTGAGCACGCATGGATATGCCCAATGTGCAGTGACATCAGTTGTGATAACAAAACATAAAATAATATCTTAGTAGGGAGTCGCAGTCCGAAACCCAAGTTCAAGGTGCCAAAGAACTGCATGGCTGTTGGGTGAACTATGCACTGCCACCTTTTTTTTAAAGCCGTGGCAAATGTTCTTTTTTTTCTCTCTGTCAGACGGTAGCCGTTGCATTTTTGCTCCATTTGTAAACTGAAAGGATGTAGTTTCGTCGCCCAGCTTCTGAGTTGAGTACATGGCGTGACACTGTGAGCTGCGTTTGTTTTTCGTTGGCACAGGAGCGGAGCAACTGTGGGGTGACCCGTTTGCTATGAAGCTGAAACTAGGATTACCATATTACCAGATTACCAGATTGTTATTCTTGTCACATACAACAACTCGCGGACTTATTTATACTATCCGTAAATTGTCAAAGAGAAACTCTGATTGTACAGTTAGTTAAGACAGTTTAGGCTCAATAGTGAACAACAATGCGATTGCCTAAAAGAAGTTAAAAGAATGTTTGCTTTAGCAATACCGAAAATGCCGAGACTAACCAGCAAGAAGAACTTAGGCACAGCACCTACAAGCGAGTTAAAGTACACAATTTGGGATCATGTATCTTTCACACTGCAACGTCCTGCTTATCCTCCAAGTGACATAAGGTATCGAGGTACCTTGAGTATAAACATATATGCTCCTACAGAGAGTCACAGTAGTATTTTGGAGACCGGTACGAATCACGTTTTTGTCTCTCTAGCTCAAAATTATTGTTGTCTAAGCTGTTCCTTCATGACTGTTTCTTTCTTCCACTTCATTCGGTGCCATTCAATATGTGTGCCAGTCATTATCTAAACCATTCAGTTTCTATGTATTTTATTTCACACGCTAAAGTTACAACAGTGTTTGCATTAAAAACTCAAAATTGATCAATTACGTTCTTTATTGTCTTCTTTTAAAAGGTGCGAAAGTGATTATACAAATATTTTGTCAGTAGGAAAATAGCATTGCTCTGAAAAGGTAATCTGATTCGGAACATTACTCCAATTTTACCAAGCTGCGTTCGTAAATTATACATCTAGTAATTTTCAAATTTATCCTGGATGCTTTTTTTACTCCTTTGTATACTATTAGTATTGCTACTCTTCAAGAAACGCGTCGATGTATGCCAACCGTAACTTCTGGCAGCTATCAAAAGATAAAACATTCAAGAGATAAGTAGGTTCTCAGATTCATCAAAGCGTCCAATCTCAAGTAATGTCTGGAAGTAGGAACAGTAATCGGTTGCTGTAGGGAGTGTTCGTTCCATTAGCTTTACGATCCTTTTATCATGATAATGAGAATCGATTGTAGATTGTAGCAGGACAACGCATTCATGAATAAATCCACGATATTATGTGTAATTTGTCCGTCCACCATTGGACACAGATGACCATCATACAATAGTTTTGAGTGACGTTTTCTGAGGTACTGTACTGATCTGATCCTACACTCTAATCAAAATTTTGTGCGTCAATGCTTTTTTTCTCGGAGAGTGTGAAATAGGCGTACTGAAAAAACTCGTTATCTGTATCGTTTTCATGCAGCCAGTTAAGAGATTTGACTACAAACACGGTGGTACATCGGTATACGTCGCATTGTAATAAGTCAGAATTGTATGCCTCCTGTTTAGACGCAACAGGTTTGCTTTGGTATAGAATATTCTGTCGAATACAACTCGCTTGAAAGAACTTATAAAACTCCACCATATTCAAAGTAAGCAAAGTAACAGGAAGTTATGAAACAATAACCAAGAGTTAAAGACACCAGAATATCAGATTCCTGAAGTTTTATAGCAGGGAGACTCTTCTTCCACACAATCACATCTCCTCCTCCTCCCTTCTCAGCCATTACAGTCGGCACTCGACTCTTCTCAGCAAGGTAAAGTTAGGTACATTTTTATTTATTTATTTGATTGCTTTTGTCTTTATGTATTTTACTATTAGGAAATGTTTTAATTATTGTATACAACCTCTATAGAAAAATTCGTTTTCCACATATCTAGAACGGGCTGGGAATGTATACCGAGATGGGCGTGCATTCTTTATCGGAAACCTCTTTCAGTGCAGACTGGAATTTTCATTCTTAATTTCTGTCATAATCTGTTAATTCCCCTTGTCCGGTCTCAGGGCTTCTTACAGTAGATGTTCATTATGATAAATGGCAACAGTGAGGACAATTTTCATGGCTCTGACAAATGTGTCAATCAGCCCTCGCTTTGATCAGCATTTCTTTGGGTACCTATATTTTGCATAATGTTTTCTATTATCTGAAGAACCGGGGTCCATCTGGGAGCCAAAATCATTTTAAAAATTCGCACCATCGGTAATTTCACTTCAGATCTATCCACCCATCCATCCATCTCTCTGTATGTCTGTCTGCCTGTCTGCCTCTCTGTCTGTATGTCTGCCTGTCTTCCTGCCTGCATGGCTGGCTGGCTGTATGTCTAAGTGTGTTTCTGTAGGTGAGTTTGTTTTCCTGTCTCGGCGCCGAAAAGATCTGGCAGTTAACCTCGCTTTTTGAGAAAAATCGGCGGATTCTTCGGACAACGACATTGTACGCTTCAGGAGTGCAGTATGTTACATCTAAGGGGGTGTTGCCGGAGCTGTGGATTTCGTGCTTTTTTTTTTTTTTTTGCGCCGTGAGTCCGACGAAGATGGGATACAATCACTTTATTCTGCCTGCATATACGCGTTTTTGTGTGCATTTGCGCGCGAACAGGTATGCGTAGACTCTTGTCTATTTGTACATGCGTGTGTATGCAACTGAAATCATCACTGCCATTAGGCTAGGAGATATTAAAAGGCAGAGAGCGGACACTATATTGTTAAAGCTTCTATCATTGGCTTCTAGCAGCATTTCCCGTTGTTAGTCATATTTCCAACTCTTACAATACAAAGTAATTTATGTATTGATCTTATTCTCCTTTTCCTGTTTATATACTTCCCCATAGACGCTGGACGTCATTTTTTTCGTCTGTATATTTATTTTGTACAACTAATAATGTTTTCCAAATTGTCCCTTTTACTGTTACTGTGAATCAATTTTTGTAAAACGCGTCTCAAGAGAATACATCTGTTAGTTTATTTCTTTTTAATTCCTCAGGTATGTCTTCGTATCCTTTTTTTTTTTTTCAAACATCCCTTTGCTGTATAAGCTAACGATGAAACTCTCCCATTGTCGATCATATGTAAAAGTAAGCCCCAAGCATTCATACTAACTAGTCCATATCAATATCAGTAGTGACGTCTATCACCATTTCAGTATTACTAGTCATATCTATCATCGTATGATTATTATTAATATGATTGATTCTATCTATCACCGTCTTATTATTATAGTTCTATCTAATCGCTGTATCATTATGAGTATCATATCTGTCACCATATCATTATTAGTAGTTCTGTCTATTACCATATGAGTATTTGTATTCATATCTATCACCGTATGATTATTATTAATTATGATTGGTTCTATCTGTGACTGTCTTATTATTAGTAGTTCTGTCTATTACCATATCATTATTAGTAGTTCTATCTACCATTCATATAATTATTAGAAATTCTGTCCATCACCATATCATTGTTAGTAGTTATTTGTATACCATGTCATTTTTAGTAGTTCTACCCAAAACCATATCATTATTAGCAGTTCTGTCTATCACTAAATCATTCTTAGCAGTTCTGTCTGTCACTATATCATTATCAGTAGTTCTGTCTATCACCATATCATTATTAGTAGTTCTATTTATCACCATGTCATTATCAGTAGTTTCAGAACTATTACCATAACATTATAAGTAGGGCTGTACCGAATAGTGATTTTCACTATTCGGCCGAATACGAATAGTGGGACCAACTATACGGCCGAATACGAATACGAATACGAATAGTGTATCATCATCATCTTGCCGACTGGTATTGTCGATTTTGCCTCGCCACAATCTGCGATCTCCTGCAGCATGTATCAGTTCGTGTGCTGACACACCTCCATGACATGCAACAGGACTGTCAAGAATCTTCTCTCGTTGTCTTTTTCTATCTCTCCTTCCACAAATCTTTCCTGTGGTCACCACATGTTCCATTTTCACTCTTCTTATAAGATGGCCGAAAAATGATGACTGTCTTCTTCTGATGTCTGTGATTAGTTGTCTTCGGGCTCCCGCCTCTTCCAAAACCTAGTGGTTGCTTTCTTTAGGCTGTCCAAGGTATTTTAATTAAGCATTGTTCTGTAAAACCACATCTCTGAGGCATCAAAAAATTGTTTGACCTGGCTACCGATGGTCCAGGACTCATAGCCATATGTTAAAACTGGATGTATGTAGCAAGCAAGACAAAGATAAAGATATATTGCATAAGATGTTTTTTTTTTTTTATTTTATTTTTTTTTTAAATAAAATGCAGTTTTTGCCTGTCCTATTTTTTTTTTAGTAAACACATTTCATCTAATTTTATCCATGTGCCAAATTCGCATTTGAATCATCGTTCGTTCAGGCGTTCGTTCGATGTAATTTAAATGCACCTTCATATTCTCGTTCGCAATATCTTCAATTTGATTTGGGCAAAGACACCCTGAAAGTACAAAAAAATGCATTTTCTCTCTCTCTCTCTCTCTCTCTCTCTCTCTCTCTCTCTCACACACACACACACACACACACACACACACACACACACACACACACACAGATACACACGCACAAATGCAACAAAAAAGAACGCATTGCCTTTAAAGATATGTGCTTACTTGACGAGGCTAACAGTTAATATTGTTCAGACCACATTTTCCACTTCAAAATTTGAGCAAAAATGTAGTCACAAACTTACTTATCAGCTGCACCTTCACGAATACAAATAGAGGATTGGTCGCATGTCGGGATAAATACAAAGACAATTTTTAGCAACCTGCGGTTGGCATTTTATGCAGTATGATACACTTTGAGTGTGAAACGAGGGGGAAAAAAAAAACCTATTTCGACAGTGGCGAGGAAAGAAAATTTAAATTTTAACTTCCAAGTTTCTTCATGCCTTCTTCGTTGCCTAAATCTGTCGTAGCGGGGGAAACTAGAACCCGGTTGCGTGGAAACAGCGCCTGCTGCCTCCTCCGAGGCATTACAGCAGAGGTTCTAAAACTGGGTGCGAATGTCGTGGGGGGGGGGGGGGGGGGGGGGGTGGGGAACCGCGGCGAAAATCACGAAAAGTCGGCTATAAATTGTGACATTGTTAATGAGAAAGTTATTTCAGTCCATCGCAGTGTATGCATAAATCACTATTCGTATTCGGCCCGACCGCCACTATTCGGCCGAATACCGAATAGCTATTGGGTCCACTATTCGGCCCCGAAGCGAATACGAAGCGAATATTCGGTACAGCCCTAATTATAAGTATTTCTTTCTGTCGCCATATCATTGTTAGTGATTCTATTTATTACCAAACGATTATTAGTAGCTTTATCTATTAGTCTGAAGAGAAAATATCTCTTTGTTTCGGTCTTAATTTTGTCTGTGTAGTTTAAAGCTTGTCTGTCCCCCCCCCCTCCCCCCCCCTCCCAATTCAACTCTCCTTCTTGTTGCTCTATACCTTAAAGATGAATAATCATCCCCATGGAAGATTCTCAAGTAATGGTATGGTGAGTAGTCTGAGGTACCTTCATCATCATTAGTAGCTCTATTCACCAGTCAGCATCCGTGGCTCAGGAGGTCTTAAACGCACCTTCATACTTCCAACATAGGGGATTCGTTTAATACAAAGTTGCAGTAGAACCGCTTTGTGATGAATTCCATAATGATGTAAGCACTGCACCGTGCACCTAATGGCAGACAAATTTGCTAGCGAAATCACTGATAGGCACCATGCGCCTAATGGTTGTAAAATTGGCCAGTGAAATCACTAACAGGCAACGTGCACCGCGCAACTTATAGTATTCATCTTGCCCAGCGGAATCACTAACAAGCACCCCGCACCTTATAGTAGTCACATTGCCCAGTGAAATCACTAACAGGGAAGAACTGTTGTGGTTGGTTTGCAAACAAGTGCAGGATATGCACTTGTCTGTCCGTTTATCAGTCTGTCTGTTACCTGTTCATCCATCCACCCGGCTGTCTATCGTATGTTGTTTTGTATATGTATGTTTATATGCTACTCTTAACAAATTAGGGAACCATGCTTCTCGGAGAAAGAGTGGAGTGTAAGAAGTTTTTACCAGAGAAGTTAAACCATCACATCTTATGGTACATTAAACCCACCACGCCCATATAATTATAAAAGTATAGAGTATATGATTTACCACTCTTTAAAATAGCTGGTTTTACGTTTGTTACAGAATTTTCACATCACCCCGTCCTAGATACGACGAAAACGCCTGTAGTAACATCCCAAGGAGGGAAGGGGGGGGGGGGGGCCGCTGTATTTACATCTCGCACACTCACGCTCAGCATATGTGCATGTATGAATGAATACGTGGGCGCTGACGTGCTGCATCTGTCAATCCGTGTCACAGCCAGGGGTGCCAGAACTTGACTGCTTAGACCCGCTGAGAGCCCCCCCCCCCCCAGTCTCCCCCCCCCCCATACCAGACCATCTGTGTCAAAGTCAGGGGTATCAGTCAGAACTTGACTTCTTTGGTCCCATGAGCTAACCCCCCCCCCCACTACCACCACCACCACAACCTCCCTCATACCCTCCTTTTTTCCAATCACCTTGACAATAAAAGATGCTTGTGTGTGTGTGCCCTTTTCACACTGTCCCCTCCCGGAAAATGTGTATTGCAGCTAAGCGACTCTTCTAAGTAGTTACAGACGTTACATGTGTAAGTATTTGTTTAACTATGTTTAATAATTATTCCAGCTGTATTATTACATATATTTGTCATTCAACACATTGTCATTACTGTTATCATTATTGACATCGATATTATTTTGCGCATTTAAAAGACGTTTGACCGACACCCCCACTCCCCACCCACTGTGGAACTGAAGGGCTCTCAGCCTTCATAGCTATTTTTATGGCGGCACCCCTGATCAAAGCGTATCATTATATTAGTTGTATTCATCAATGTTTAACCTCGTTTATAAAACATACGCTCACCATATGATATAAATGCATACAGGTATTATCTTTAGATGACGTGTGTTTAGCTTGCTAGCTAGATGCATTATTATTTAAGCACACTCAGCGACAGTTTCATTATTATGTTTACAGGAATGGGATGACGAACGATTGACGTGGGATCCTAAAGATTACAACAATCTTCATATACTGAGAATTCCATGTGAGAAACTATGGCTTCCAGACATTGTTCTCTATAACAGGTATAAGATTGTCTTTCCATTTATGTTTAAATAAAATAATTTATGGGGTGTATTTCGTTCAATACTCTGACACTAATAATGTTATGGCAACGAAATTCTGAGTGGGCTTTTCTCCGCTCGTGCGAAATCGGATGACATCTTGGAAATAGCCAACATTGGCGCCCAGACAGCTTTTGACGCGGCGTTCCATAACGCACCAGCACTAAAACAACTGGGCGGGGCTGCTGAAAGGGCCTCGAGCTGGCTATGTACACAACGAAACGTCTTGGGGGATGGGCCTCGGTGAGCTGGTTGTCACATATCACTCCTGTCGCGTGCCTAATGTAAGGATTTCTCCTTCAGAACCAACAGCACTCAGAGATAATTATGTTGAGTCGTTTGGCTCGTATTGGTCTAAGGGATTCCCCCTGGCCAATATACGCTCAACTTATCTCTGGAGTAGGGCAACTTAAGTATTGGCACTACAAAATATGTCAGTATATGAATACAATATTTCTAGGCACACTTGGCTGGACACCCCCACTACTTACTAAAGAAAGCCCCCAGGTTATGATAGTTCATTATCATAACCATGTTAACACATATAATGAAGATACCTGCACACACAACTGCTAAACACTTAAAAAGGTGACATAGAGAAACCTAAGTCAGCCATGAAAATGAATGCATGTAATTAGTATAATGTATATACATATAATATTGAAGTGAATTCCAGCTATCAGTGGAAGAATCTCAGAAAATAATGTCTAGATACCAAAGATCCTACACAGACAGCAGGTCTTGGAGATGACTCTATGTCATCATTGGGAAACATAGGAGCTGTGAGGCACAAAGCATATAAGGCATCAAACTTAGTTTCTCCTCTTTCTGTCTATGATGCTTCCCTCAGCTCCGGATGATTCGACTGTCTTTGACTCTGGGAATTCTGCTCCACTGGATCAGGTAGTGAGAGGGTACCTCACCATAGAGGACACAGCACTGTACTGGTACTTAGCAAGTCTCTATCACCAGTTAGGACACACACTGTCTTTGAGCTACACTAAGCTCTAGCACTGGTAGGCTGTTTGAGTTATAAGCTCCCACATAGTGATGATGTCAGGAACCTTCACATGTGTCAGCTGGTGGGTAGTTAGTTTATGGTTAGTTTATGGTTTATTCATGGTTGGTGGGTGTTGGTTGAACTGTTAAACTTCTGCCAGCTCCTCACAAAGGATTTATCCTGTCAAGAAAATAACTCAGAATTAGTCATCACCAAGAGGGTAACATCTTGACAGGAAAGACAGAACAAGCATCAGTCACCATCCCCCATCTGCCTACTCCACGCTGCTCTCCTGTTTCATTCCTCAGAATGCCTCTCCAGACCAGGAGACACAAGTCTCCTATATTCATCTGTCTGTTTAGTGCAAGAGAAGGCAAGTCAGATATACAGTGGAGATAGATAGAGTGTTCTAACACATATATCACTCTCTCTCTCTCCCCTCCCCTCTACACACAGACACCAATATTTACTGTCAGTACCTTTATTCTTTAGACTCCCCAAAGCCCGTCCTAGCATTCATTGATCTGGGTCAAACACACTCACACACTGGCCGGCAATGTCCTGACCTAATTCTGTCCCCATTTTGTATGCACAGACTTCTATAGTTAGTTTAAATAGCACACACTTGTAAGGTTATTAGGTTTACCAGTATGGGTGGGTTATTGAGGGCATAGGCTATTTAGTCTGTACAGGGGAAGGTCTACGTTCGAATCCGCTTCTCTAGCGATCAAGAACGGTCGAACTATGTGTGATCCCACAGCCGACACTGATCTCTCTACAGCAGTGACTACTTTACAGACATCATTTTAGGTACTCGTAAACTATAATTAACTTACCCAGGCATATGCAAAGTCTGAGACATTCCAGATCGCCTTGAGAAGTGAAATTATACAGGCATAGATTGACACGTCTGGACGCTTGGAACCGGCAAGAAAGAATGGCGTCACTTACGCACTTCAGGCGTTGGTAAAGAAAGGAGTTCCCAGTATACATGGGGAAGGAGTAAATCGGTTTCTAAGAAACCTCAAATAACTCTTCTAATATATATCAAAGATATATACATTTAAAAGTGGAGTTTAGTTAAAGCAACTAGAAAATGTAGACATAATAATGTTGTCCAATCAAGGCCTATATATATAGATATAAGGGACTATATCTTTCCGGACGAGTCCAAGTTTGAATTTTGTGCCGATTACAGGTAAGTTAAGTTACCAGTCTTGCGGACTGATGCGTAATGGCTTATCATTCCACGACACTGGTCCTGGTGTCTAGTGAAAAGAAAATCTTATCCCTTAAAGTCCATTGTGTCCGAATTGTTTGCCAGTGTCTCTCTGCCATCTGCCAACAAAGTCTAACATGTGTCCGATAAACCAACGGTAAGCTTGCCGCTTGGTCGTCCAGGTAAGCTGACTTCTCTAATTATGCTACCGCAGCGACTATGTAAATACACTTTGTATGTCACACTACCTCTTGCAAAGTCACCAATTTCGTCTTGTCACTGTCCGAGAACTTCTGGTAATACGTGCAGCAGGAGAAAATCAACCATGAGCCTTATGAACTCAGGTGGGCCCACTCTCTGAAAATGTCTAGGAGCTCGTGGGCCGAAACATTTGTCGACGAGAGGTTACTTCTACTGACGATCGGTAGACTCCTGCTGTACATGCTCCCCTGTGGAGTTTCTTCTTACTTATTGTGGAAAATCCGTCAAGGACGTCAGGTCTCACTGCTTGGATGGATGCACTGATGTTTTGCTGACTGGACCCCAATGGTGGCCATTTCCAGCACTGTTATGATGTCACTCGACTTTGCATGCATGGAGGTAAGCCTACTTCCCTTGCCATAACTTTATTAGTGTCCAAGTGAACGAAATACTGGGTTCCACCATGAATGAAGCACCCCTTACTATAATTATTTCTGATAGAAGAGTGAAGTAGGGTAGCCAGATGGCAATAGATGTCAAGAAACAACAGGAAAGAAGATAAGTGGATAATACGGTATATTTATAAAGAATGCGGAACAAGGCCTGGTGTTGGAATCGTCGTCAGTGCAGGTTTTTCTTTCTTTCTTTTATTCCTTTAAAAAAAATATAATTATTAGAATGATATCTACTAGAATAACGCAGCCTAAAGTCGTTATCAGGCAATGAATGGGTTATCAAGGTGTTCGATGCTATGTTTGAACTCATCTCCCTCCTCCATCGAGTGCCGATTAGTTTATGTAAATATGGGACTAGAAATATATGCCCGAGGAGCTGAGGTAGCGCAGCGGCTAGACGCTCGCCTATCGGTCCTGTAGTTATGGTTCACATCCCCATCTTGGCCAATGTGTTTCTAAAACTGACTTTATTGTGTTCCCATAAAAAACTGTAATGTGTTTCCAGAACTTACCCTAATGTGTTTCCAAAACTGACTTTAATGTGTTTCCAAAAGTGACTTTAATGTGTTCCCAAAAGCTACTTTAATGTGTTTCCAAAACTGACTTTAATGTGTTTCAAAAACTGTCTTTAATGTGATTCCGAAACTGACTTTAATGTGTTTCCAAAACTGACTTTAATGGGATTCCGAAACTGACTTTAATGTGTTTCCAAAACTGACTTTAATGTGTTTTCAAAACTGACTCTAATGTGTTTCCAAAATTGACTTTAATGTGCTTCTAAAAGTGACTTTAATGTGTTTCCAAAAGTGACTTTAATGTGTTTCCAAAACTGACTTTAATGTGTTTCCAAAACTGACTTTAATGTGATTCCGAAACTGACTTTAATGTGTTTCCAAAACTGACTCTAATGTGTTTCCAAAACTGACTTTAATGTGTTTCCAAAACTGACTCTAATGTGTTTCCAAAACTGACTCTAATGTGTTTCCAAAACTGACTTTAATGTGTTTCCAAAACTGACTTTAATGTGTTTCCAAAACTGACTTTAATGTGTTTCCAAAACTGACTTTAATGTGTTTCCAAAACTGACTTTAATGTGTTTCCAAAACTGACTTTAGTCCCTCTGGTAGATCAAGGCTACTTTGAGTGCCACATATGGCTTGGGAAGTAAAGGCGGCCAGCATGATGTCGATCACTCACCCATATAGTGCTGTGAGGTCCATATAATGAAGGTCTAGTATTAAATTCCGGAAGCCTCAAAGGTGTGAAAAAAAAGCTCCTTTACCTACTTACGTTTTGCTAGAACTAGCACTGTTATGAAACTTTCCTCTATCCTTTAACTTCTACTTACGCTTGTAGCTGTGTGTGCTTTACTGTTTTTAGTTCTTCTTCTCTGATTTCTTCTCTGTCAACAATATTCTCCAATATTATTCAGAAAAAACTACAACCTCGCGGACTCCAATTTCCCCACAGTTTCATCACACATTGTCCACTTTTGCTTCCACGCATAACATTCAAGACAACTTTAGAGCGATTGCTAAAAAAAAAAAAAGCCAAAAACCAAGGTTGTGAGCGAGGGCTTCGCTGATGAAAACCCACAATAGACTTGGGCAGTGACAGAAGATTGAAACTTGATTAGAATTGAACAGCAAGCAGGAAACAAGATTAAAAGAGGGGATATTAATGTCATGTATATCAGAAGATACATAGAATAACATACAAGGAGACAGCTTTAGGCGAATCACATTGTGACCTGCAATCTTCAAACTGCATTACTCCCACTCCCTCCCCCACCCCCGCCCTCCGGATGAACCATTGTTTATCGGTACGTGTTGATTTAGACTTTATCATGGTTGCTGATACAAAAAAGGACCTGTTCACATTTCCCACCCCATCTACGCATTTTCTCAGTCTGATATAGGTGAAAGGGGTGTCATGTAGTACTGCTTTCTTTATAAAAACTCTCTCGTGTGAATTAGGCTCAGGCTGTTGGTTGGGGAAAGGGAGGGGGGTGGGAGCTAGTACTAGGCGTTCAATGGTCGTTGAAAGCTGTGTCGTTGTGTAGAATAGAACATGCGACGTCGGCACTGATGTAATTGGGAGCAAGAAACCGTAATACCCCTCTGACGTCGAACAACCAGGGAAAGTATGAATGATAGGTCAGGCATTGTGTAGATCGGCCGGGAAACGTGAAATGGACCCAAAGGAAATGCCAAGGGGAAGCACTTGACAAAAGTGGGGAGTCCCAAGAAGCATAATCCTAGTTTAATAATAATGTAAAGTGGGGGCAAAGTAAAGGACCTTTTTCCACGCCAATATGCGTATAGGGCATATAGGGCTAGACCTATATTTTATAGACCAATCGGCACAAGATAGGTGATGTGGTCAGCATCCCATTGGCTGCCTCTACTTCCCGGGATTGTGCACAGTACCCAGTCAAGGCTGAGTCGACCTGGGATACACGGTCAATTTTTGAAGAAAAAAAAAGAGTCCGGCTCTGCCAGGGAACGAACCCTCGACCTTCCTATTCGCAGCGAGCGACTAGTCGCTCCGCCACGGCGACTTCCTTAATAATACTGTACTTTAAAAAAAAAATACGTGCAAAAAGCCAAATAATTCTAAAATAATTTTTATACGGGGTTAAAGGGTGAGTCTTAGCGTCTGGAAAAAACTGCTGGAGGTGGGGTGGCTTATCCTTCTCCCTCCTCCCCAAAAATATTATTGGGGAAAGGAAGCGTGGTGGGGTGGTCGCTGAAGTGCTATGAACCCCAGAATCCAGCGATTATAGACATGGCATTCATTTTCTCCCACGGCTCAGTGAGATCATTGGGATCTGGATGATTGTGTTGTGTTATTAAGATTTGGCGTAACTGAATACTGGACACCTTTCGAGACGATTCACTTCATTTAACCAATGCGTATTCCATATGGGTGGATCTCTTTCCGCCTGTCTAGAGTGTCACACCAAGCAGCAACTCCATAGGTCCAGCGACGAAATGGAGGATATCCTTTCAAAGAAATTCAACTCATCCGTTGAAACATACACTCCGTGAATCGAGCGTACAAACTTCAGAGCGTAAGACAAACGATTTGATCATTTGGTCACAGCAGCCCCTATACTGGGATATAATTGTATAACATTATTGACCGTAACGGTTGTCTGTTCTAGTCACCCATTTTAAAATCACGAATATTTGGTGTTGCCGACGATCGTGTGCTATTGCATTTTTTAATAGCAGATTTTCTTAGTGAGAGGCTGTTTAAAAAACAAATACCTGAAAAACAGAATAGAGTTAACACACAACCCACCCACCCTTTACTACAGTTACTTGGCAACAGTTTTGTGGTGCCCCATTATAACTGTACCATATGGTTTTACGGTTAAACGGGATTTCTGTGAATTGTAGCTATGTGATCTCATCCATAATGTTAATCCTCTCGACTTCAAATCTGAAAAGTAAAATTATATATATTTTTTTAAAGATAAATAATTGATTGTAAACATTTTATATTGTAAAATCGAACTAGTTACCTTCTCATTCTAATATTAAGATGTCGGCAGATAGTTGTTAAAAGTGCGATGTCATTCAGGCAACTGTCGTCTCTACAGTCAAGGGTTTTGCAATGTACTTCAAAGACTGTCTCTCGTCCCATTCACGCTGTATGACTGAACGGTGTTTAAGCATAGCATGACGTTATGTTTCCAACTCAGTGCTTATTCAAGTATGACTCTGAAATATTGAATATGCATTTAACACCGAGCTTTTTAAATTTCGCGAAATTGTTTAAGTTATGTTTACGGTCTGTTAGTAATACTTACCAACATAAATTTTTTAGACGTATTGGGTATCTAAGGCGTTTCGATGCGGCCATGTCTCCAACATGGTTTAAAGTTGTTTTATTCTTCTTGTAGTCCACGTTGTATGGCATTGGTAATTGTGTTTATCCACAACCTTCTGCCTCGTGTACTTTCAGTCAGTTATGGTAGAGGTGATTCTCCATATCATAATATCAGACTGTCTGAAATTGGCTATATCTGTCTACGTCCACCTATTTCCTCCTCCAACTTGTATATACTCGGAGCGGAGGGGATGGTGCTACCTGAAAAACAAATATCTCTTCTCTGGATGTGATTATAGGAACTGTTCCCACGCTGTTTCGCTGATGGCGGCTGTGCTTGGGAGATAAGGGTAGTGCGTGGGAGATAAGGACTTTCTCGGCAATCCGGTTGCTGCCAGCTATGCCCTAAATTGAGCAGCCGAACCATAGTAGCGAAATCTCAAAGGTGATTATTTGTTTGGCTTAGATTTGATGAACACAGCTAACGCCCTTGTGGTCACTTGAAGTTTGAAGTTTGAATAACGGATCAACATCATGACACACAGGTAGTAACCCATACGTGCTCCTATCTTCTTCTAACTCAAATTTGAGTCCGAAGAAGTTCAGCACAGTGCACAGGTTCTGTAGGACCGGCGAGGATCTTAAAATACTTTGGGTAGATTTTCAACTCCAAATTTTGCCCGGGTAGCGTCATTAGGGTACTCTTTTCAATTTCCAACTGCCAATGGGTTTTTTAAGTGCGCAACAATACACACGGGCGTCCTATCTCACTACAAAGAGACCAGAAGGAATTACTATAATTCCAAGTCCACGTTGAAAAATCCAAGTCCTTACCTCTAGCACTCGGGGCGGACACAATGTCTCGAGTCCATGCAGCCTCATTGTAGTCACTTGTACTCTGTAAGAAGTCTGGTGTTGCCAGAGACAAGTTAGCTCCATTCTATGCATTCTGCATTTTTGTGTTGATATCTGATTATTTGATTTTTTTACTGTGAAACAATAAAAACTTATACGTATGAATATATATATATATATATATATATATATATATATATATATATATATATATATATATATATATATATATATATATATATTCTCAGAGTCTTTACCATGTGGTTTTGGTAGTCATGTCTATCCACAACCGTCTGTCTCGCGTATGTTCAATCGACTCTGATACAGATGATTCTCAATGCCATGATGTCAAACTGCCTAATATCTTTTCTCTCGGTCACCCTCTGCCTCTCCTCCGACTTTTTAATTATTACGATATACTCCAGTTTTCTCCTTCTCATCACATGACCAAAGAATGTAGATTGGCTCTTTCTGTTATGTACAGTCAGTTCTCTTCGTGAGTCAGTTTCTTTGAAAACGTCTTTTTATATGTCCAGAGTATTGTCATCATTCCTATATAAAAGTACATCTCCGCAGCTTCTAACTGATTTTTTACTGATTTACCAACTGTCCATGATTCACGTCCGTATATCAAGACAGCTTTTGAGATTATATATATATATATATATATATATATATATATATATATACATATATATATATATATATATATATATATATATATATATATTAGGACTGTACCGAAAAATGATTTTCAATATTCGGCCGAATAAGAATAGCGGCACCAACTATTCGGCCTAATGCGAATATGAATAGGGTATCATCATCATCAAGTGCCTTGCCGACTGGCGTGGGCGATTATGCCTCCTCACAGTCTGCGATCTTCTGCAGCATGTATTAGTTCGTGTGCTGACACACCTCCATGCCATGCAACAAGACTGTCAAGAGTCTTCTCTCGTTGTCTTCCTTTATCCCTCCTTCCACAGATCTTTCCAGTGGTCACCAAATGTTCCATTTTCCCTCTTCTCATAACATAGCCGAGAAATCACTGTCTCCTTCTATGTCTGTGATTAGTTGTCTTCAGGCTCCCGCTTCTTTGAAAACCTCTTGGCTGCCTTTTTTTTCCAGGGTATTTTAAGCATAGTTCTGTAAAACCACATCTTTGAGGCCTAAAGAAAACCGATTGCCCAGGACTCTCAACGCATTGCCTTTAAATTTAAGTGTTTACTTGACGAGGCTAAAAGTTACTATTGTACAGACCACATTTTCCACTTTAAAATTTCAGCTAAAATGTAATCACAACCTTACTTATCCCCTGCACCTTCACGAATACAGATGGAGGATCGGTCGCACCTCGAGATAAATACAAAGACAATTTTTAGCACGCTGCGGTTGGCATTTATGCAGTATGAGACACTTTGAGTGTGAAACAATTTAAAAAAAAAAAAAAAAAAACTCTTTTCTACAGTTGCGAGGAAAGACACGTTAAATTTTAACTTTTAATTATTTTCATGTCTTCTTTTAATGTAACAATTTACAGCCGACTTTTCTTGAATTTCACTGCAACACCCCTGGCATACGCACCCAGTTTGAGAACCTCTGCTGTAATGCCTCGGTCGAGTCAGCAGGCAAAGACCTTGCCAGCTGCTGTACCACGCAACCGAGTCGCAGTTTCCACCAGTAGGACAGAATTAGGCAGCAGCAACTATTGTGTTAATGAGAGAGTTATTTCAGTCCAGAAGCGAATATTTGGTGCATACATAATATATATATATATATAAATATATATATATATATATATATATATATATATATATATATATATATATATATATATATATATATATATATATCCTCTTTCTAGCACTCATCGGCTGTAAATTCTGACGGGAAATTGTGGTTGTTAGTCCACTCCTGGAATTTTGTCTTTATCTATAACTTTGGTTTTGCGTGCACATCCGTTTTGCATATCTGGCCTAATTGTATGCAGATGCTTGTCTCCGCTCCTTGCCTCTTAGGAATATAGATGCTGTTGTGATATAATTTGTGGTGATTTGAACAAACTAATAATTTCATTGTAGCTTTCTACTCTCCATTCTCTGTTACATCTTTGGTAGGCCCACAAATTCGTCGAAAGACTGTCCTTAAAAGTGTGTAACTAGGCCGTGACTCTTTTAGTTGTAAATAAGGACCAAATATGATAACTAAGGTTCTAGAATATGTCGGCTGTTAATTACTTTTTATATTAAAGAATCCCCGTTTCTTTTCTTTCCAGTGCAGATGATTACACGACTGGTTATATGAATAGCAAAGCCATGGTCAACAGCAATGGAACGATATTTTGGCCGCCTCCAGCCAAATTTCGAAGTTCCTGCAAAATTGATATCACATACTTCCCATTTGATGACCAAACATGCGAGCTTAAATTTGGCTCCTGGGCCTATGATGGCTTTCAAGTGAACATTACAAACAGGTAAAGTAGTCAGAGATATGTAATGTAGTTAAAGAAAAAGATTATATGTAAGAGAAGTATGGTAGTAGAATTATAAGAGAAAAAGATGGCGCCATGCTGGCCACAAGCTGAACACAAAAAAAAATGTAAAACAAAATAAGCAGTGAATTATCAGACAGGCACTAAAATGGGCGAGGGGGGGGGGGCGGAGAAAGTGAAGACGTCCACAAGAAACCCTAAAACGAACGAAGATGAGAGAGACCAAAGGTGCTGGATTATGTTCCATCGAAGACGTTAAATGGATTGCACAGGATAAAAAGGAATGGAGGGATAGACAAAGCCATCTAAGACATATATGGCACATCAAGACAAGAAAGGAATACTAGGTTTTTTGTCATGTGTACATGCATATTCTGTATGCGTGTGCGCGCGCGCGTACGTGCGTGCGTGCGTGTGTGTCTGTGGAAGGGGGGGGGTTTAAGTTTAAAATTGTTAATACTAAAGTATGTGCACATACTAAGATTACTTCACTAATTATACTGTGGAACACAAAAAAAAAAAAACATATCCAAAGGAATAAAATAAAAGAATTGAACAGAATTAGCTGCGAAATGTATCTCATGTATTTAATAATCAATGAATGTATGGCGAAATGCTTCGTACCAAAAGAGTTAAAAACTCTCAGTGTCGTCACACTTGAAGGATTTATGTTGCGTGTGATGTTCTTCATTAAAAAAAATTCATCCACACCAGAAATAGACAATCTACATGCTTTCGTCATGTCATGCAAAGGTGAAAACTGGACTACATCGTGAAAGTGGGAAAGTTGAAGGGTAAAGAGGCAGAGAGAGGTAGACAAAGAAGATTCTGGAGACTTTGACATCATGCCATGAAAGATGATCTGTGTCAGAACTGACTGAAAGTACACGAGACAGAATGTTGTAGATATGCGTGACTTGTATTACCATGTGAACCGCCAAACTCGTGCAAACCCTGCAGCATCTATCTTCTGTAAAAATAAAAATGTAAAAGTTCTTCATCGATTGCTTTCAAATTTTTATACAACGTTGCATTCCAATACGCGTGTGGTTTTTTTTTATATAAGAGTGTCTCACAAAACATGAACTACATATTTAGCACAAGCGACGATCACATCTGTTTTTGTTTCGTTGCCGCATTCCCAGCGCGGGTTTTTACTTCCGTTTGCAGACGAACTTTGTTGACCGCATGAATCTGCATGAAGCTGTATGCCGACAGTTTTTCACTGGTTGCTTTCAAATTTGAACATAATGTTGTATTCGAACACGCGAGTGCTTTTATATAAGAGTGTCGCTCAAAGCACGAACTACACAGCTTCAGCGACGATCACATCGGTATCTTGGTTTTGTTTTTCGACGATCTTATTTATTTTTTACGTTGCCGCGTTCCCAAGACGGGTTTTAGGTGAACTTTTACGGTTGACCTCAGAAATCTGCGTGAAGCTGTATGAGATTATAAATTATGTGGTAAATATTACACTGGCCGCATTCACTTCTCATTACAATTCATGCTACCCATTTTAGTCTGGGTGGAAACAGATGCCAAGGTCAATTTTAAAAAAAAAATTAAAAAAAGATATCACCAGGTGATGAATTTCAAATTCTTCGGAAGAGGGAGCGGAGAGTAGTTGGTGGAAACAATTGTCACCACCAATAGTACATTCAATAAATAATTTAGGAAGAAGCAATACACTGCACAATTTATTGCCCGAAATATTTCATTGTATCTACTCGGGTGTATTACTAAAGAGTTACATCAACATATAATAAAAAAGGGTGGGGGAGGGTCACGCATTATTTCCACTGAAATGCACAAATCACACGGTCATCTCGAAACATTATTCCTCTGATCAGCCGAATAGATCTAGATGTTCACATGATATCAACATAGTCACGTGGTTCACCGGACTAAATTGAGATTTACCAGAAATCGCTTCTGCTTGCATAAAGGAGGATTGGTTGTTTATAATTTCAGTGACAGTGCATTTGCCTCACATCGAACGGAAGACTACTAAAACAGGTGGAAGCTTTATTAATAACATCTACAGTCTCCTTGCACATAACTATAGTGAGAAAGTTTAGTGAAGAACATGTTTACACACGTGTATTCATATTTGGCAGTCAACGAATTGCGTTGCATATCTAAAATAGGCATGGCTACAGTGCATCCACCGTTTTGTGTTCTATTCGTATGTTGCGAATATTGTGTGGTAAGGTCACCATACACCGATATCGTACATGATCTGACGATCAAGTAGAACTGGTTCATAAATATCAGCATCATGTCACACGGCATGGACTATAAGAAGAAGAAGAAGATTGGGTTTTGGTTCATTTCAAAACATAAAATTTCAGTCAAATGATGTGCACACATCTCACGTGACAGATAATACATCTCACTGACACCAACTCAAATCTTCCCTGCTGAGCTACACCTGTTCAACTGACTGGATAAATGATCAAGTGGCACTATATAAATTTCCATAGGAAAAACAAATATGTTGTTAAGTTTAAACAATAATTGTTTTTCAATAGGTCATCGACTGTAGATCTGGCAAATTACGTGTTCAGCGGCGAATGGGAGCTGATTGATGTCAGAATACGGAGGACGGAAGTAACTTATGCTTGCTGTATCGAGCCTTACCCCGACGTGAGGTTTACCATCGTCATACGTCGAAAAACTCTCTACTACCTGTTCAACATTATTTTTCCCTGCTTGTGGTTGACAATTTTAAGGTTAGTGATTACCATATGAAGAGACAGCATGAAAACAATATAATTAAAATGTCTTTACATTTCTTTTCACAAGGTGGAAAATATAACGGCGACAAAAGGCATAACAAATAAGAAAAAGAAATTGTTATATATTTTTTTTTATTTAAAGTTCAATCGGAACGTGGTGTGACTTTACACTGGCCGCCATTACTTCCCAAGACTGCACATGGTAAGAAGTCAAGGCTGGGTCAACGTGGGAGTCAAGGTCATATTTAAAAGAAAAAAATGGCCGGCTCTGCAGCACGCGAACCCACAACCTTCCGATCCACAGGCGGGCGTCTAGCCGCCACCGCCATGGTGACTCCCATTTAATGGATTTAGATGAGGTTTAACAATTTGAGGTTTACTGTCATTACTGGACACTCACAAAAACTCTGTACTTCCTTATTTTCCCCTGTTTGTAGTAAAAAAATTTGAAGGTTAGCGGTTAACTTATAACTAGACAGCAAATTAGTCAGATTTCCATGCAGTGGACCATAGGGAGGTCAAAAGAGTAAAGGCCTACACCACACACCAAAAGTCAGGAAGGAAGCGAGTGGAGTAAAACTATGGGGAATATCCGAAATGAGCTACACAATATTATAAAATACTTTGCCTGAGTTAGTGGAGGGTCTCTGCTTTATTGAAGGTTATGAACAAATAAAGAGACACATAAAACATGGTGGAAGTTAACTTCTTACATAAATTAACAACAAGTACATAATTAAAGGTGCCAGTTTTCCAATGGGGTAAACATTGAAAGCATCCTGCCACTTTATTCTACAGGTTTTCATTCTCTTTATCTATTTACTGCTCATTTCTTGAAGTAACTTACGCATGACAACTGTGGTTAGGATGCCTAATGAAGAGAAAGAAAAAGACCAGCAAATACAGCTGAACGTTTCGCCAAGAGCCTATATCAATGGTCAAAACACCAGACTAAACAACCTTGTACAAGGGCAACGTAGGAAACCGTAGTAGAACATATGGGCATATACTCCTTGTGTAAGACGGAACTTTGGATGAAAATAGGGGAAAAGGCGGGGGGGGGGCGCTGTGGTAAAAATTAAAATATATAAATAAACGAACATTAAACAAAAGTATGTTTAAACAAATCGTAAACAGGAAAGCAATGTTATGATTAGGGAAAATTTTCCAAAGAGAACCGACGGTTATAATCCTAGAGAACCGACTGTTATAATCCCAGTAGGCATGAATCTATGCATATTGTATTCAGCGGGTTTCTAGCAGTGACAGTTATAGCAGTTTCCATACCCGATGTGGCCACACATTTCCAGGCACCTTATGTATTACTTTTTCAGGTATTTTACACATTATACTCTTCTAACTTCGTTATCTACAGCATTTTTTCGTATGTTATTTACAATTTTTTTTCCAGACACGCTGTATATTACACATTACTTTATGTTATATACAGTGTTACTTTATGTTATACACAAACGGTTTCTATTTAAGGCCATACCATGGGTTATTGAAAACCGAATTTCAGTCACTTTTGGCTACAACATGCTGGGATGAAGGGAGTCAAGGACTCACATCATAGGACATTCCTATTTCCTCGCCATCCTGATATTCAACAGCCCTCTAAGAGTTATAATTTCGATAATACCAGTGCCAGTTTTAATATATGTCTTTCTTGACTTGTTTCTAAGTGTAGAGTGCGGCCAGATCCTCCCTAGTCACTTCCCGTTGTGCCTTTCTACACAGAACGTAATGATCTTTTTATTCCCGCTTCCACATGGTTTACTTTCTCACACAGAGCCTTAACCATATTTTGTTTGTCAAGCGTCAGTTCATTCATCCAGTGAAGAAGCACCAGCCACTCTGTCTGCATGTTCATTTCCCAACACAATCTGCATTACTTGAAGAAAAGATTGAAAGGACGCTAACTAGTGGGAACCTCCAAAGTGAAATTTGCCACTCTGAACGAAAAATACCCTTCTCAGCGTTTTGTGAGTCTCTTACAAACACAACATATGTGTGCAGCTGGTTCTCAAGCCAGCCGAAAGCGGCTGGGACTGCCTCCACCTCCACACTCAAGCCAGATTTTGTGGTATTGTATCCTAGGCTGTGTTGTACTAAGCGACGTCTCTTCGGTTTTGCAGTGATCTAACTTGCACATTTTTTTGTCTGTAAACACAGATCCATCAGTATGAATAATCATAGCACTTGGCCACGAATTTTTACGAATGACTTACTGAATTATCATCTGCAGTTCCTGTTGCCCCACCCTGTACAGCGTGTTCAGAAACTATCGCACCTCTGCTCTGAGCTCTGACACCTTAACCCACTCCTCGTCTCACCCAATGTTTTTAAGCCTACCCACATTTCTAATTGTGTCCTCACCTTGTGCCATTTTGAGACTTTCCTGTTAGTCTGAGGCGTTGGCTGTATTTTGGGCTGAATGAAATAGATGTTTTTTTTTTTTTTTTGTCTGTGGCTACTCTGAGGTACACCTCATTTTACAGTACTTTGACCCTATGAGAAATAGCCATCAACGCAAGGAGGTATTAGATACATACTATTGAAGTATACTTGCGACATGTTTCTATATGTTTTGTTATACATGGTAAGTTTCCAGGGGTCTCATCTGCATTGTGTCTTTATATGATACACAACATATTTATTGGTACATTATACAAGCAACATATTTTCCCGTGTAGGTAACCGGGACCCCATTCTGAGGGGGGGGGGGGGATATATCAGTTGCCCCCTTGACCACCCCACCCTCTACAAGCATGTCGTAAAGAGCGAAATCGCAGCCTATGTGTACATACAACACAGGGTGCCGGTCAACCCTTTTAAATGCAAACACAGAATAAGGAAATAAGCGCCAGGGCAATTTCTGACGGTACGCAGTAACGGCAATTTTGTAACCATAATTTTTTTTTTCCTCGCTACTTTTATAGACAGACTGGCGTCTGTCACTTGGGCGTTGCGAACGCGTTTCGTTATGCCGGGGTGCCGGGTTTGATCCCAGCTGCGGACCTTGCGCCTTGCGTTGGTTTCGACAGTAGTAGGGAGAAACCGACCGTCCAGTAAGAAATGGCAAACTACTGGACGTGAATTTGCCTAGAAAATCCACAGCTACCAAAAAAAATCTGGGGTCGGTTCTGTCGGTTCTGCAATGTCCTATAGAAGATACTCAACTAAATAATCTTTCAACATCCCTGGGAAGCACCCTACTAGTTATGTTTACATGTGTCGGTTCTGCAAGGGAATGAAGTTAATAATTGACTTCAGTATTTAAACTTCTACATTGCCAACATTAGAGATCAATGGAGAAACAGAGAGACATGTATTTGTGCTTCATAGATTACACCGAAGCTTTTAATAAAGGGAAACATGATGGCATCAAAAAAAATTTTCTGGAGGATATTATCATTGATGGAAAAGATCATTTCAGAATATTAAAAGATATTTACTGGAAGCAAGAAGCATCATTTGAATCGGGAAATAAAGTAGACAGTTAAGAACAGATAAAGCAAAGAGTGAGACGAGAATTTTTTTTTGTCACCGAATCTCTGTCAGTCTGTCTGTCGGTCTGTCTGTCTGTCGGTCGGTCGGTCGGTCGGTCGGTCGGTCGGTCGGTCGGTCCGTCCGTCCGTCTGTCTGTCTGTCTCTGTCTGTCTGTCTGTCTGTCTGTCTGTCTGTCTGTCTGTCTGTCTCTCTCTCTCTGTGTCTCTCTCTGTCTCTCTCTCTGTCTCTCTCTCTTTCTCTCTCTCTCTGTCTCTCTCTCTGTCTCTCTGTCTCTCTCTGTCTCTCTCTGTCTCTCTGTCTCTCTGTGTCTCTCTCTCTGTCTCTCTGTCTCTCTGTCTCTCTGTGTCTCTCTGTGTCTCTCTCTCTGTCTCTCTCTCTGTATCTCTCTCTGTCTCTCTCTGTCTCTCTCTCTGTCTCTCTCTCTGTCTCTCTGTCTCTCTCTGTCTCTGTCTCTCCGTGTCTCTGTCTCTCTGTCTCTCTCTGTCTCTCTCTGTCTCTCTCTGTCTCTCTCTGTCTCTCTCTGTCTCTCTCTGTCTCTCTCTCTGTCTCTCTCTGTGTCTCTCTCTGTCTCTCTCTGTCTCTCTCTGTCTCTCTCTCTGTCTCTCTCTCTGTCTCTCTGTCTCTCTCTCTGTCTCTCTCTCTCTCTGTCTCTCTGTCTGTCTCTCTGTCTCTCTCTCTGTCTCTCTCTCCCTGTCTGTCTCTCTCTGTCTCTCTCTCTCTGTCTCTCTCTCTGTCTCTCTGTCTCTCTCTCTCTGTCTCTCTCTCTGTCTCTCTCTCTGTCTCTCTCTCTCTGTCTCTCTCTCTCTCTGTCTCTCTCTCTCTCTATCGCTCTCTAGAAAAAAGCTAACGAGTGAGGTCAATGATTGACCTGGAATACTAGGTGGAGGTTATAAACAATCTTCGTTATACAGATGATACAGTATTAATAGTTGAAAGCGCAGAAGACCCACAACAACTATTAGACATTATGGTAGAGAGTAAAAAATGGACTTTCCTTTAATGTCAAGAAAACAGAAACAATGGTTACATAAAAAAGAAGATAAATCCAAAATGTGAAAAAGTAACTGGAGTGCTTAAACAAGTCAATAAATTAAAAATGGCGAAAATATGGGGGTGACTGCAGTCAAGCTAATACAAAGAATTTCAGAGAAATTTGACTAAAAATCTCAACAAAATGGGGAAGCAGAAAAACGTGCATAAAATACCTTATTTGTGTTGTTTTGTGCACGTTTTTCTGCTTCCCCATTTTGTTGAGCTTTTTAGTCAAATTGTCTGGAATTATTTCAATAAATTCAAGTATTTCAGGATATTACTAACACCAGACCGACGATGTTTGACAGAAATTAAGAGTGGAATTGGCCAGGCAAAGTCAGCGTTTCAGAAAATGAAAAATATCTTATGTAATAAATCACTCTAAATAAACATCAGAAAACGAGTACTGAAATGTTACATCCAGCCTATTCTGTTGCACGGCAGTGAATCTTGCAATGTAAGCAAACAAGTTAACAAGAGTGTGGAGGCAACTGAGATGTGGATCCTGAGAAGAATGTTGTGAATACCTTAAACTGCCAGAATACCAAAGAATGATTGCGTGGAAATGGCTAATGAAAGTAGACAATTATATACAACAATGAGAAGGAGTCAATTATACACCACAATGAGAAGAAGCAGAGTTCTTTGGTCATGTGATGATAAATAAAAGGAGCACTGAAAAATATCGTGACGACTGGAAATATCACCGGTCGAAGAGGCAGAGGCAGGCCAAGAGAAATAGTGGTGGATAGCTTAAGACAGTGGCATGGAGGAGTATCGTCAGCGGAATTGATCCAGAACACCAAAGACCCAGATCTGTGGAGATGCATGAACGCCTGCACCAGCTGGCAAGGCACTTGATGATGATCATGATGTGATCATGATGATGATGTTGATGATTAAAATTTGCGTTGTTTCCACAGTTTGCTTGGGTTCTGGTTACCTCCAGATTCCGGGGAAAAAATCACGTTGGGTATAACTGTCCTTCTGGCGTTCTCGGTGTTTATGTTACTGATAGCGGAAAGTATGCCGGCAACGTCAGAGTTTGTACCTCTAATAGGTGAGCAACTTAGTTGTTTCTGTGTGTGTGCCTGCCTGCCTGTCTGTCAGTATGTCCTTGCATGGCTTGCTTTGCGGAAAGAAAAACATCTTTACGTTTAACCAACATTACCGAAATGGGAGTTTTAGGTTATAATTGTGACTAGGTTATGTGTGCCATATAAAATGGCTCAACATTGCTAGCTTCCAAGTAGCCCTGAAAAGACATTTTTCAAAGTTGATGCGATCAGAGGAGACAGCCTCAGACAGTTGGCTACCGATCGCCAGTGATGTCAGTATGTCTGTCTATCTATTGATACATCTGGATGACTATTCGTCTTCCTACTACATTTGCCATTACTGTTGCTGCTTCTATTGCTACTACTACTACTGCTGCTGCTGCTGCTGCTGCCACTACTATACTACTACTGCTGCTGCTATTGCTACTACTACTTTTCTTCATCATCAGCTTCTTCTTATATTCCCCCTCTTCTTCGCCCTCTTTTTCCCTCTCTTCTTCGCCGTCTTCTTCTCCTCATTTTATTTTTATTCGTTTTGTACTTTTGTTTCTTTTTGTTTTTCCTTTTCATCCCATGTTTTTCGTCTTTTCTCACCCTCTTTTTATTATTTTTTTTTTTTTTAAAATCCATAATATTTTTCACATTTTCTAAGAGTGCAACTACAACAAAAATGAAAACAATGTGTTTGTAGTAAGTTCATCATATCGACAATATCGTACATTTGTCCACACAATTAACTTCTGTCCTACATTTACTCTGGATACTAAATACTGCTTTACATTTGCAGGTATTTATCTGACAGTCACAATGGGGATGACGTCCCTTTCCATCATCCTGACCGTGTTTGTGCTCCAGCTTCACCATGTCGGACCTCACAAGCGACGGGTTCCCAACTGGTTGAAATCCTTGGTGTTTGGTTTCTTCGCCAGAATTGTATGCATGCGCCAAAATATACAAACAGCTCGGCACAAAGTCTTTCAGAAAAATGCAGATTTTGATACCCAGACAGTAACACTTTTAGAACCGTCAGGGGTCATTGTGGATGCGGAAAACATTAATCCTTGCGGTAGACTAAGTCCTACTGGATCAGGAGACAGTCGAAGGCTTTTTTCCAGCGGCGGGAACGCAGGAAGAGGAAGCAGTCGGAACTGTAACGGTGATGCCATGTTACAAAGAAATAATACCAACAATGACCGAATAGCACCGTCAAATAACGAGATATCCTCATCAATGCTCAGCTTTCAAAATTTACCCGGTACAGACTACAGCTTGGCACAGATATCCCATTATGACATGCCTCAGTGTTTGAGGTCGCACTTCAAAAGGGATCAGCGATTTCGTGGCTCCTTTAGAGAAGGATATCAGGTCTCTTCAGACTATGCAATGGACAGAGGTCGTTTGTATTACCAGCACGATCCGGACTTCGACAAATACCAAGAACTGGTGGAAGAGTGGCAGCTCGTTGCTCACGTGATGGATCGACTTTTGTTTTGGTTATTTTTGTTTGTGGCCGTGGTGTCCTCATTGGCTATTCTTGTCATTAAGCCAATGTTTAAACCTGCTATTGTTTGAAATCTCGTTGAAAATGTCCTGCTAAACTGATCAGATAATATCATTGTTAACTCTTTCGAGACCAAGTAGCTGAACATACGACTGTTGATAACTCCAGAGAAGAGGATCGCCGAGTCGTTATAATTCTATAGTGTCAAACAAGGGGCACGGGTTCAAAAACTCAGATCCGCATATAGGGCCTAGGACCAACGGAGAGGTGGGGGGGGGGGGTGGAATATACAACTGCCTACTAGCAAGCCTATCGCGAAAGGAGACTAATTATTGTTGTTTCTTTCGACGTTGGAATGCGTCTGCCTGAGATACAAGGAACCAACAAAGCATTCATATAAACTAGACCTATAAAACGGTTGTGCACGCAAATATCAAGTTCTAGAACAAGATTAGAGTAAAGAGTTGGACGAACAACCTTAATCTTCCTCTAGAGTTTACGGCCAGTAAGCAAGAAGAAATACTCAGAAAGGTGATATATATGTTGTTCAAAAATAACAATCCTGACCTGCACAGTTTGTGGCGACTGCACTAGTCATGAAATCTTAAAACCTCGGGCTAAGACCCCCTAACTACATCGTCCTAAAAGGAGTGGTTAATAATACAGTTAGCAGAGAGAGTTGATAACCCATATGTGAATTACATTTCCTAACCATTTCTCATATACTCTTATGTCATAATATTTCACCTTATCCCTGTTTTCATTTTAACTTATTCTATCCCATAGCTATAATATTTAAATCACCAAGATTGTTAATACAAAATAAATCAGCTTGGGGATAAAATGTATCCAAGAAAAGATTGCCTGGTACTGTTTGAAATTCTAACCCGCATTTTTTTTTTTTTCATTTTTTATTCAGTGTAATTGTTAATTTAACTGTTTCAAAGAATCAGTTATTATATAATGTAATACATATTTGAGTCTGTAAGGTGTGAAGTACGCACAATATAACACTACAGAGTCGAATTAACGGTTGTTTTAGTAAATTAATTGAAAACTTCGTTGCGATTTCTTTTTAAGGAAGTTATAAAACGCATCATTTGGAAGTTAAGACAGCAAAATTAGCAAAATACCATGTTTTTTTTTTTTTTTTCTACTATGTGTTTTCCTAACTTTCGTAATTTTAAATAAAGGGATTATCTTATACACGGAATGGGGGCCGTGGAAGTGTGTGCGTGCGCATGTTTATTTATTTACTCATTCATGCTCAGACAATAGTGGCCGACTTACAAATGGTGGCGTCTTGTGCACTGTAAAATACGGTAATTTATTACCTTTACGTCACTGGCGCACACTCAATCTGGCGCTGGATCAGTATTTTTTTTTTAACTAATTCTGGTTGGCCACCTACACTTTTCAGAATACTGTCTGGTACATACTTTATGTTGAGTTACTTAGGGAACCCTGATAAATTTTTTTTTTTAAACATCACTCTCGATTAGGATTTGAACCCAACATGTCTGGACGAGAAGAAAAGAATCTAACTACCCACAATAGCTTCCACCTAGACAGAAACCTTTTCAAACCCTTGAAGAAGGATGATTCTTCCAGGAACCAATCCGGCTTTGGCATAGACTCCCTCTAATCAAACTGCGTACCAAACACATGTTATAATCTTCTTGGAAACTGCTTAGGAAGGAAAAACGAAGAGGAAGAGAATTGGTCAAACCTAACTTTTAGAATACTTAACATTTCACAGCCGAACAAGGGATACCGCTTGTGGACTGTAGCTATCTTTTCTAGCATGTAAGATTTACCCATACAAATAGGTTGCATTGCTTATCACAGTGGCACAATTATATACTACTGTCTTTATGTCTCCCCCCCCCCCCTCGTCTCTCTCTAAATGTGTATTTTTCGCTACGTTTTGTGTGTGTGTGTGTGTGTGTGTGTGTGTGTGTGTGTGTGTGTGTGCTGAAGCACACAGAGAGAGAATTTGAATCATTGTTTCTGCTTCAGCATGTCCTTATGGCGTCCTTTTGAAGGTCTGGTGTATGTTCTGTCGGTATTTTATATATTCTTTTGGAAAGGGATCGACAAATAAAGTAACATTGTGAGAAGTATTTTTACACTGTCATCGCATTCAGACACCCCGTTCAACCTGAACGGGGTTTGTAGAACTAGCGTGTCCACATGTAGGACGAATATTTCGGTTTTTTTTAAGCCACGGGATCATTTACTAAAGGTATGGTCCAAGATCTGTGTCTGCAAATATCAGTCTCTCAGTAATTCCTGTTAATGCGTCCTTGTTTGTATCTTGATTTTCCTTTCCATGATCAGTCTAGATTACAAACACTATATATATATATATATTTCCTTGTAACACGATATGTGTATTTGATATCGCCCTCTTTCGATCTATAACTTGCTAATCTGAGAAAAAGAGCGGTTGTCGCCTTACACAAGGGGAAGTCATTAAGTAAAGTCAGCTGCATTAAATGGAAATCAGTCTCAATAGTGCTCTTGACAGAGCTCATCAACGAACATTACAAGCCTGGGCCGTATGTTGAATGTTTCAGTACTTCAAACCGCAGTCTCTAAATATCTGCTATATCCGCAGCCCTGGGGCGTTGTCAGGCAGGAAAGAAAAGAGGAAACTCCTTTTGAATGGTCGGCGTCTGTGACTTAGGTGTTTCGTAATGCCAGGGTGTCGGGTTGGATCCCAGCTGCGGGCCTTGTGCCTTGCGTTGGTTTCGACAGTGGAATGCACATACTGCAAAATCACACGACACATATTTTGGGTATTGCAAAGGGGCCATTTTGTGTCCTGAAGTAATTTTTTTCTTCTTTGTACTGTTCCATTCAGACTATGATACAATTGTCTTTACTTTATGACTTCACCTAGTATTTTATTATAGTCCACTGACAGACACTGGCTTCTAATATCGTGTTTGTGCTCAACATGCTTTCACTAAAAAAAAAAAAAAAAAATAGTGATTTGGTGACATCAGTTTATTATTATCATTGCTTAGATTATCAGTGCGTTTTTGTTTTTTAAATTGTGATTGCTAATTTTTTCTCTCCCCCCCCCCCCCCCAAATCACAAAAAAATGCCAAGTTGCTGCCTTATTATACCACTTTTGCGGCCGCATGGCAGGTGCAGGTGAGGTTTTCTTTTGCCTCCGGCAGAAAAAAAGATATCCAAACTTTTTTTGAGTATTCGAACCAGGGTCTCCCTTCTGATAGTCCAGCTTCTAACTGCTAGACCAGCCGTTGCTCCTTTCTGCATACAAAAGCATGCGTTTTGTATTCTGCTGTTCTAAAATCTAAAGGGTTAGATTATATCGTAATTTTGATACCAGCCAGTCAGGTCAGTAAGAAATTCTCAGCGGGCCAGTTTTGGCCAGCGAGCCATAGTTTGTCCACCCATGGTTTTTGTGTTTGAAACAAGAATATAAAAGCCCTTTACTAGGAATCAACACCTAACCTTTCTAGCCGCTCGGTCACGGTGACTTCCCTATATATATATATACACACACACTCACACTCACACACTCACACACACACACACACACACACACACACACACACACACACACAAACGACACGTCAGCCGCTTTCATTTTATCTGAGATATCCAGATGAAAATTTTATAAAATTTCGCCTCTATATGCATCCGGCGCTTTCATTTTTATTATGAAACTAATGAAACTATGGGCTAAACGTGGCAGGAGTGGTGGTGGGGCGGGGGTCGATTACGTTCTACATGGCGGGTACCTATGCAGTGTTGCGTGTGGAATGTCAGCTTTTGTAAATAACTGCTACAATCTTCTCTGTTTTCTTAGCGTTCGCCAGGTGTAAACTCCTCCGGAAGGTTCTCGTTCTTCGTCCACTCCTAGACTTGCAGATCGCGTGCAGATCCGTTTCACAGATCTGACTTGTTTGTATGCACAGATCTGACTTGTTTGTATGGAAACTGTTGGTTCCTTGTCTCTCGAGTAGATGCACTCCGATTGCAAAGAAAACGCCCTTAAAGTGTCGCCTACCGCGACACGCTTGTTATTGGTCAGTGGGTCTATACCTTGTTCTTCATAATGGACCCCTGAAATCACAAGGAAAACCGACTGTATGAAAACTGAGCTGCAATTCTGGTGTGGGTCTATTAGTGTTGGAAAATGTGGCAGCTCCCTCATACATTCATTTTGCGTTTGCGATATTCACGATTTTTACTGAGGAGCCTGGCGTGTGTTTCACTAGTTTTGCAATGGAACATTAAAGGACATTTTGTATAATTGACACTGGCACGTAAACGGAGCAGTTGTGGTGTAACCCGTCGGCAATGGAGTTAGAACTTCAGCTAACACTACCAGCTGTACAACTATATTTGTGATGTCTGTGAGATTCAAACTGAAAAACAAACATCTGAGACTCTAAATATTCAACTCTGACTTCATGTCAATACTGTTGAGTGGAACAGAAATATTAACCATTAAAATTATTACTAAAATATTTAAAACATTAACATATCTGATGCCTATGCAGAATTGTATTAACTAAAGTAATAGTACCACTTAAGTGAAGCATAGGATCATATAAGTAAAATAATTCCTACGAATCAGGAGGTGATGAAAAGACGGTTGCGAGGGATAGGTCACAATGAGATAAACTTGAAAGTGTAGCTAGGTTGTTCTTTCTCTCAAACCTACTGGGCAACCAAAAAAAAAAGGTCACACATAGACTCTTAAAGAGGAGAATTAGAAACGTATATATATATGGAACATTAAAGGACATTTTGTATGATTTACACTGGCACCTCAAAAAAGGTCACACACACATATATATATATATATATACACGTTTCTAATTCTCCTCTTTAAGAGTCTATGTGTGACCTTTTTTTTTTTTTTTTTGTTGTTGCCCAGCCAGTAGGTTTGAGAGAAAGAACAATCTAGCTACACTTTCAAGTTTATCTCATTGTGACCTATCCCTCGCCACCGTCTTTTCATCACCTCCTGATTCGTAGGAATTATTTTACCTATATATATATATATATATATATATATATATATATATATATATATATATATATATATATATATATATACCTATATATATATATATATATATATATATATATATATATATATATATATGTGTGTGTGTGTGTGTGTATATATATAAAATGTGAGAAAAACACGAAGTGAGTTGCAGGAGATGGCCAAGGTGTTTAGTTAGGGAGATTAAAAGCAGAAAACAAAAGTGAAAGACACATAACCACATGGTATGTCTTCAGCAGATAAGCTTGTCGACTCTTCCTTAACTACTGAAGAAGAGGACGGAGCACGTGTGCGAATGTCCCTAGCGCATATTCTTGATTCCTTCATTCATTTGTATATTCAGCAGAAATATATAAGACTCATGAAGTCTCAGTCAAAAAAGCCTTGATAATCTGTTTCGAACGTAGACAGGATCTTTGACCCTAAAGTTCGTTCTTCGATAACTTTACCTTTTTCTATTCTCCGCACAACAAGTGGGTATATCCCACGAAGCATTGAACAGGGAATAGCTACCCTTTTGTGTGATGCGACCATTTTCCTTTTGCGACGATGGAAAATTTGGGAATAACAGTCAAACATAATACGCCCTGGATATAGATCATGGAGGACTTTAGCTGGTTTATTCGGAATTGATATCGGCCAGCCTTCGAAGACTCCTGTCGAAGGTGGCAATGTCCATTCTCTTTTCATTGTTATTAGTTTCATCCAAACTGTTAAAGGCCACACATGTTCAGAGTCTGATTTGTACAGAAAAATATCAACGTATGGAAATTTGATAAACGTTTCGTCTTTCCAAAGTTGTGCATCCTTATGGAAAAGTTTCCACATGTATTCAGGCCCTAGGTTGATTTGAAGATCAGGCAGACAGGACAGGACTTCCCGAGCGATTTCCCATTGCTCACTGTCAACAAGAATGTCGACGTCTTCATCCCAAGGCATTCGCCCGTGATGTCGATAGTACCCTATAAGAGATCCACCTCTCACGATATGGGTTATATTGAAGGCAGTCATCGCTTGCGTTGCCGAAATCATAGCATACATAATGTATTTCTGCTCTTGCACACTCATAGATGGTTTGAATTTGTCCATAGTTTCAAATTCTTCTGTAGACAGTAGGTCTCTGATACCGTTAATATGCTGACTCCAGTCTTGTATGTCGTAGCTGGCCATTTCCTCCAGCCTAGGCATTCTAGTCGTAGCCAATCGCTGATGGACTAAATCACACTCACCGTCGAAGTGGGTCGTGTTTACGTAGAAAAACCAGTCTTGAATGTACATGGCAAGCACCTGTGAGACAATTGAAAGATTGTTTGAATAATTTATATATTCGTAGATTGTTTGAATAAGGTATATATTCGTATTAATGGAAGCAAATTTAGTTCAAATTTTAAAAGTGTACATTTCACGCATAATTTAAGCAAACGTTCTTTCATGCAACTTTGATTTCCAGTATGTTTATTCAATGCTTCTATTAATGTAAGATTTATCATTATTAATTATTATTATTATTATTATTCATTGGAGGGCTTCTAATGATCAATTTCTGCGACAAAACAACATTGCTGTTTGTTTGCGTTTGTATATGTGTGTGTCTAAGAGAGAGTCTGTGTGTGTTGTGGACTTATTTGAGTGTCTGTGCTTCCGTACTCTATGGGGTGTGAGAGTTTCCGTTCTTCAGATGTTTTCACATACGGTTGTATTTGTGTGTGTGGGAGAGAAAGACAGAGAGAGGTACGAGAAGAGAGAGAGAGAGAGTGAACGTTTTATGTTAAGATCTCGCTAACATGTAAATCTTTGCGTCTCTGTGAGATAGAGAGAGAGAGAGAGAGAGAGAGAGAGAGAGAGAGAGAGAGAGAGAGAAAGAGCCAGAGAAAGAGAGAGAGAGAGAGAGAGAGAGAGAGAGAGAAAGAGAGAGAGGGAGAGTTTGCAGGCTATCGCACACACGTTTGCACTCGTGCTTGTGTATGTGCTTCTTTAAGATCTTTCATACGAGAATGTGAATAAATATGTTTCCAAGTCTCTCGAAATGTTTGTGTTTGTCTTCAGCTTCAAACAGACATACAATCATACAGGGTATTTGTAAAGTCTCATTACACTTTGTATGCAGAACAATTGTAAACAACTCAGTGCATGATTTAATTTTAAAAATATTCTTGAAAAGTCATTGAATTAGTGAGATAATTACAGCTAAAGGTTGTTTTCTTTAAAAAAGAGGGAGGTGGGGTAGAAGGGGCAGTGCCATTGAAATATTCATTAAAACAGGTCTTCGAAATGCGCACACTCCACAGCGGGCTTCAAGATATGCCTGTACATGTTTCTACATATTGCTAAATATTTTCTACAACGTGTTTGTTATTTCTTGAATGGTAATTCTGGTTTATATTCGACTATAACACCATTCTGTTTTGGGTTCAAAGAATTACTCCAACAGACGATGTCATTCACCGCATATTGCTTCGCCACTAACTGTGTAGCAGATAAATTTTATGACGCATGTACTTTTTCCCCCACGTTTTTTATACATACAAAGTATAGTGACACCTTACAAACAACCTGTATATCTGTGTATCAGAGCGTTTATTTCCATATGAAACGGTGTTTACCATGCTAAGCTCTATTAAATGCATGTTTATGTACGAGGCTGAGGGAGCCCATATAAGGAAACAAATATTAAACATCAACGAGCGTTACATCTTTCCCCGACACTTCATCGAGGAACAAGGCGGAAGAGAAGAAGAAAAGGAAGAACATGTCTCATCGTACCTGCATAAGCCAGCATATTATTTTACATATGTAAGAAAAAAGTAAATTATTCAAGTATAGTACAGAATAATAAACAAACCAAAAAAAGTAAAACAGGTAGAGAAAAGAGACCCGTTTCACGCCAATGACGCATCAGGCATACGAAGTTGGACTCATATTGTGACTCATATTGTTATATCAATGCATAATATCTGTAATATGATATGTCAGCAGCATGCCGGCCGCTTCACTTCCCATGACTTTTCCTGGTACCCATATTAGGCTGGGTTGATCTGGGAGCCAAGGCCAGTTTTGAAAATAACCTGACTCAATAGGGATTCGAACCCACGATCTTCAGGTAGAGCATCCAACCGTTTATACCGCGGCCCCCCGAAACAAACAGAACTTTATTGCTGCTGCAACTGTTACCACTACTGTGATTATTACGATTATTTCTAGTATTATTGCTACTTCTACCACTACTACTACTACTGCTACTACTACTACTACTACTGCTGCTGCTGCTGCTGCTATTGTTTTTACAGCAACTACTAATGCTAGACCTCACCACAAAGTATCTATTATTGTCGCACTGATAAGATAGGCAGTCTAAAAAGGTCCTGGTACTGCGCACCACTACATACCACTAAAAAAAATCGTTGACTCTCACTACTAATACTACTAGGTAAAATACGCCATAAGGAGTTTAATGCTAACACATTTTGTCTTCTATTCTCTCACTAAAAAGAATCCTGACATTAATATGACTGTCATGCGGTTTAGTGTTAATCCAGTTTCGGTGGCATGAGTGTGGTTAATTACTTTTTGGGGGCGGAAAGGGGAAGAAAGATTTTCAATGCAAATATATATATATATATATATATATATATATATATATATATATATATATATATATATATATATATATATATATATATATATATATATATATATATATATATATATATATATATATATATATATATATATATATATATATATATATATAAGGTAAGGCACTTACTTCTTTTAAGTTTCTTTCTCAAATACGCAATGACATTTGATAACGTCACGTCACTTATTTTTACCGTGTTGCCACAGTAACCAAAAAAAAAAAAAAATTATAATAATAATAATAATATTTATAATAATAAAATGACTATAAATTCGAAAGGTCATAATCACTAGGTCGGCAGACTGGTATGCTACTCACTGCCACAGCTAAATGTGTGCGTTCCGGGGCACCATTGGTGGGGTGGGGGTGTCCATACATCCACTGCACTCCTAACAACCATATCACATATAGTGACTAATTAGGGGTTTTTCCTTTGAAGTCGGATTGTATTCCTCTGAGAGACGAGGGCGTGAGTGACGTTCAACCACACTAGGACAGCACAGCAAGTGATAAACATCCGGTGACACAAAGTGCCACTATTAGGATGAGAATCACCCGGACACAAGTCCCCAAAACCTCGTCCAACTCTCAGATTATTTTATTAAGGCTTCCGACAACAACCAAATTTCGTCCCAAACGGGATGGATTGTGAGAGGCGACAAACCCAAAGACAAGAAACGTAATAATAACCGTATCTGTAAAACTGATGTGCATTAAAAGCTCAAAGATATAGGCCTAAGTCTAGAAGTTTAACAGCAAACAGAACTTTCCACGAAGTTTAAAGGCGGTGAGAAGAACAAGCAGAAGCAGTGGATCGGGGGCAGCAGCGGCAGCAGCAGAAAGCAAAATAATATTGTCGCAGCAGACGTGAGTTGTTATGACATCTTCTTCTTGTCCGTGACGTTCACCGGTTGTAATTTCCGGTGTAAAAGTTTAGGTTGTTAATCCACTCCTCGACCAAGGCTTTATCTAATATATACTAGAGACTGCCTTGCCTCGACCTTGGTGTTGATCTAAAACTTACATTTTGCATGTATATCTGTTTTACAAATCTGGCTTATTTTTATGCAGACGGTTGTTTCGTGACCTCGCAGGCAGATGTACTCCGAATTTGAAGAAATACCCCTGATTATTGGCCTATTACGACAGGCTTGTTGTGGCCAGTGGGTCTGTTTCTTTGTTTTTCAAAACGGGAGTAGAGGAAACTACTGCTTGCAATATTCTGCACATCATGATAACAGTCTGTATTGTGTTTGTGTGTGCGAGTGTATGTGTGTATATGTGTGGAGTTTGTGCGTGTGTGAGTATGTGAGTGTGTTTGTTTGTGAATTTGTATGTGTATGTGAGCTTGTGTATATATATATATATATATATATATATATATATATATATATATATATATATATATGTGTATATATATATATATATATATATATATATATATATATATATATATTTGTGTGTATGTATGTATATATATATGTATATATATATATATATATATATATATATATATATATATATGTATATATATATATATGTATACGTGTGTGCATACATGTGTGTGTGTGTGCGTTCGTGCGTGTGTGTGTGTGTGTGTGTTTGTGTGTTATGTGAAATTACGAAGCTAATTCGCAACGCCTAGGTCACAGATGTCAATCCCATACACAAAAGCGGTTTAAAAACAAAATAACAGATGCACATGATACTAAGGCAAGCGCAATAACTACTACGCAACTGCATCACAGATTGATCAAAACAATATGACAATAAAGATAAACACATTACCTTGAACGTGCTCATGTCCCTGTATACACGCGGCCAGTATGGTACAAGTATATTCCTAAGTGGTGTCACCAGCATAACAATAAGAAACACATAACACGACACCCAACAGGCAGTACGAAGATGGTTTTGAATTCTGGTGTAGCGTCGAACGCGTCTGAAAAGTAACATCTTCTATTTCGCAATCTGCAGTCGATAAAGCAAAGAAGAAATTACTAGAAATTTGGTTAAGTAAAGGACCCTTTTCCATTTCTTTAGGCGTATGGGGCAAATAGGGCTAGTCCTAAATTTGTATAGATCAATCGGCACAAGATGGGTGATGTAGTCGACATCACGCCGGCCGCCTTTACTGCATCCGGTACCCACCCCTCGGTCGACCTGGGAGCCAAGGCCATGTTTTTTTATAAGGCCGGCTCTGCCAGGGAGCGAACCCACGACCTTCCAATCCGTGGCGAGCGTCTAGCCGCTTCGCCACGGCTACTCCCACTAGAAATATGATACTTATTTTTATTCTTTCCCCTCATGGATTGCAGTTTGAATAATGAAAACAAGTCACCATTATTCGCGTGAGAATCCAACATAGGCCATCTTTAACAGTAAAATTCACTATGTGGGTTCCAGGGACCCATTGTAGGGGAGGGGAGGGGGAACAGATCCACTGCCTCCCCAACAAGCATATCGTTGGAGTGGACTGAGGCCTTCCTTCGAAGTCGGAGTTCACTGTCCGAGCAGCAAGAAACAATCAACTGCACACCAGTAAGCCAGTAAAACGTATGTACACGCCAAACTCAGGCCCTGGCACAAAGCCAAAGTCAAAATGAACGAACAGCCAAGACTTTCTGCGAGAGCTTACAGCTGGTGAACAAAGAAGAACAACTGTGAAACACACTTAAAAGAGTACCCAATGTGAAGCAAGTAGCATGTAGAATAATGTAGGTGGTATGTGATGATTGCTAATTTGTGTTGGTTCTTATTATTAAAACGCTTAACAGGAAACACAAAACTGTCATAAGTACATTATTTTACCCGTATATAGGGCGTTGTCGGGTAGGAGAAACTCTCAGCCTAAAGGTTTAGGGTCGTTTGGCTAGCTCATCAGCGAGCGATGTTTTGTCTAAGAATTAAGTGTAACTGCCGTTGCACTGGGTGTGGCCAGAAGGACTTGTTCAGACCAAGGGAATGTCCTTCGGCTAGCCTTTGGGGTACCCACACACACACACACACACACACACACACACACACACAAATTAATTACACAGTATGCCCAAACCAACCCCGAGTATCAACAGGAGAGTCTGGGCTGACCTAAAAAAAAAACATACTGTCCAGACGAAAACAGGTATGGTACTCCTAATTATTTCCTTCCGATGGAAACATGTCTAACGCCAACAGACATCAGATGTGAAGTAAACGTCACTTTAATCTGATTGTTCCTAGCTGGCAATTAGTTATAGCCGCCAGGCTCAGCGATGTAAAGAAAAGATTAAGAAACAAAACTGATTAACGTAACTTTGGAAGACTGTTCAGGCGTGACCACGTGTTGACAATATCACGTGTGCTGGTGGCAGTTGGGAGTAAAGTAACTATTAATGGTAAATATCAAACTGTTTACAAGATAATCTCACTGCTTGAGCAACACACACTTTGTTTTGATTTATTTCTTCTTCTTTTTTTTTTTTTTTTTCAAATCCTTTACTGACCATCGCGTCCTTCACCACTCATTAATATAAATTACTAATACCACTAAATTGTAAAAAAGAAGAGGAAGAAGACGATGATGAATCCTACTGGACAAAAAAATTATAGTACTTTTCTTTAAGTCCACCCTATCTCAAACGCTCGGAGATTTTGTTGATAGTTACCGGGAAAGTCCAATGTAATAGTGGTGGGGTGCAGGAATAAATTTAGCGTTAGTATTAGTCAGTGCTCATTTCACACCCTAACAGCAATATATTTCTTTACTTTCAGGAAACTCCCCCGAAATCTCGGAGTCCCCGAGATAGGGTGAATTAAAGGAAAAGAACTGACATTATTTCTAAAAATCGCTTCGTAAGTCCGAACGGTTAACCTTATTTCTTCCTAAAGTCCATGCCCTGGGGTGCGGGAATCATGTCAATCTACAACCTTCTGTCATGTATGTATGTATGTATGTATATATATATATACTTTCAATCATCTCTGACAAAGATCATTCTCCATGACACGATGTCAAAGTGTTCATCATGTTTTCTCTTGATTACCATCTAATGATATGACCAAATAATGTAGATTTCTCCTTCTAATGTGGGCAATCGGTTCTCTTCATGAGTCCGTTTCTGTCAGAACATTTTGATTTGTCTTTTCATCTATCCATGTTTTTCTTATTATTTGTCTACAAAACCACATCTCGGTAGCTTCCAAATAATATAGAAAGTGTTCCTAGTTAGAGAAAATTGTCTATATACAGTACCAAACGATATTGTCTTTTCGAAATGTTACTCTAGTTTAAATCTCTGTTATTAAACACCTCGACAACAACAGTTTGTATTGCTATCAAAATGCAAAGTTAATTTTAATCCGTTTCGTATTTAATAATGTTTTTCATTCATTAAAAAACACTGCAAACTAGTAAAAATTACAATTTACCATTAATGAGCTCAATCGCACGCTATGGACAACAAGCAACACAATGTTATCATATTCCTAAGCCTATATTATGCTTATAGAAACACTATTTGTGAACTCTGCTACTCATTTATGGAACTATCACTCACATAACATGATAACTCTATTCAAGTCTTACTTGTTTAACTGGGCGTGTGTGTGTGTGTGTGTGTGTGTGTGTGTGTGTGTGTGTGTGTGTGTGTGTGTGTGTGTGTGTGTGTGTGTGTGTGTACATACATAAAGCAAATCTGCGTTAACACAAACACCTTTACTTCACAGACTATCCATTTTGTTTGGATCAATGTGGGACTTGTCCAGTGTGTGTTCCGGGGCCCCATTTTGAGGGGGGAGGGGGAGAGAAATAGGCCAACTGCCACCACCCAACTACCCCCCCCCCTCCCCCCAACCCCTTTCTTCCCCATTTTAAAAAGCATGTAAAAGTCGACTAAAGTCGGTGCTTTCTTTGAAGTCGGAGTACATCTGCATGACAGGAAAAGCACCAACAGTTTGCATACAAACAAACCAGATCTGTCAAATAAATGCGCATGCGAAACCCTAGTTCTGTAACAAGCTAAAAGTCCAGAAGTGGAGGAAAAGCCAAAAATGTATGTCGAAGTTTACACCTGGTGAACGCTAAGAAGACGGAAAAGATTACTTAAATCCATTATGTCATATGATTTCCACTTGATGTGGATTCGATCTCGCGAGATTCGGTCGTCAGGCAAGCAGGCGCCGGTTAAGTAATGTTTGATGTTGTTATAAACGTGAGCCTGTCTGCACATACAATTATACAATACAATATTCCTTGTTTAAAATACTAAACACATTTCTTATTAAAATCCGCTCAACTTACAGATAATTATCAAATACCAACAAGAAAAGTATTCCACTGCCTCAAAGACTGATAACTCAAATGACATTACTGCTGATTTAAATATCTTTATAATCAGACACTAGTTAACTAGACCATCCCAATATTTACAGATCGTCTCTGTGTACATCTTAAGTGCCTACAAATAAACTCGTATTTGTTTTAACAGAACACCCAGGGTGCTTAACCGATACACAAAATGCGTTTAAATAGAACTTCGTTCACCGTTATAATATGGTATATATCTATTTCGGAAATTTATTTTGAATCAAAGGCGACAGCACTGGCCAGGCGGCCCTAGTTCCTCCTGCTCAATGTTTCCCTATCTATCAAGTTAGTTGCGTATCCTTTACAGGACGTTACAGAACCAACCACATCATTTTTGGCTGTTGTGGTTGTATCTAGACGGTGGGTTTCTTGATACCACTGTCGAAACCAACGAAGGCCGCAGAACCCGCCCCTGGGATCGAACTCGGCACCGCGGCATGACAAAGCGCGTTCGCAACGCCTAAGCAACAAACGCCGATAACCCCTATCTACACCACCATAAAAAGTAGCAAAACAGAGTATTTTGAATCGAATACAGTCAAGATAAAAACGTTATTGAAGAGATTAAAAAAATATGACAGCAGCCTTGATGTACTCTGTATGTAAACGTAAAGGCATTCAATCTCTGAAATAGAAAGGACTCTTTTTTTTACGTCTCCAGTCGTACTGGACATGTAGGGCTAGAACTATATTCTTTTAGACTAATAAGCGTTCGTTGAGTGATGAGGTTAGCGACAGGTCGGTCGCCTTTACTTCCAATGACTTACCTGGCACCCATTTGGGACTATTTAACCCTTATCGAGCAAATCTATACATTTGGTACCCACCCTGATTGGACAAAGAGTGTTCTTAAGGTTATGGAAAAAGTTTTAATACAAAAGATTAATCAGGAGAGGGCAGAAATACTATGTAAGTCATCTGAAAACATAATTATTATTATTATTGGTGTACAATATATATATATATATATATATATATATATATATATATATATATATATATATATATATATATATATTCACCTATTCTTAAAATGTTTAGTCTCCTAACGATTATTAATGATAATGTCTAGAATAATTTCGATGCGGGAAGGAAAAAAATCAACTGACTTGTTTGGGATGTCCCTTTTCAGCTTAAAATAGTATTGGTATGAGTGAGTGAGTGACGTTTAGGCCCATCAGGATCATTCAAGAGCAATAACACCCAGTGACACAAATTGCCACTAGTCGGATGAGAAAAGCCAGGGCGCGAGTCAGAGGAATCCCGTTCTAACATTATGTTATATTTAGACGCCTCGACGACAGCTGGGATGGGGCTTTCTAATAACAAAATTTGGCATCGCACATTAGGACAGGGATGTCACTTATAACGACAATATAACGTGTCTTAAATGTCTTTAATAGTAGTAGCAGTAATAATAATAATATTAATAATAATAATAATAATAATAATAATTGTTTTTATTATTATTTTTAAATATATTATTTACATTACCAAATGATCTAACAAATAATTTGTGGTACCTCACTCTTAATTTCTGGGTTAATCCCCGGAAAATTAGGATTTTTTTTCACGTGGACTTGGACTTCTAGTAATTATTCCTGGTCTC